GAGCTATTTATATCAACAGCAGACTGTAATATCATACGGCTTTATATATTCTAATCGAGAATATATATATATATATCAAGAATATATATAGCATACACTATAAATTTCAAATGTCAGTCTTACAAAATAGATGTAATATCAACAAATGTCTTGTCGAGCCTTGTCGGTAGTCTCGGTACTTATCGATTTTGAAATATATATCGAAAACATAGTCTCCAGTAGTATCGATACTTTTCGATTGTGCAATATACATATATCGAAAACGTAGTCTCCAGTAGTATCGATACTTATCGATTTGCAATATATATCGAAAGCTAAGTCTCCTGTAGTCTCGATACTTTTCGATTTCGCAATATATATCGAAAGCTAAGTCTCCAGTACTATCGATACTTTTCGATTGTGCAATATATATCGAAAGCAAAGTCTCCAGTACTATCGATACTTTTCGATTGTGCAATATATATCGAAAGCTTAGTCTCCAGTACTATCGATACTTTTCGATTGTGCAATGTATATCGAAAGCGTAGTCTCCAGTAGTCTCGATACTTATCGATTTCGCAATTTATATCGAAAGCTTAGTCTCCAGTATTATCGATATTTATCGATTGATACTTATCGATTTCGCAATATATATCGAATGCTTAAAGTCTCTGGCTAGTATGATCTTTGCTATCGACGCCCTAATGCCGGGCTAAACCGGGTAACAGCCGCTCGTAATAATAATAATTGGAACTCTATGTCCAAAGCAGCCCGATTCTAGTTCAGCGCCTGATAAAATCTTTGTTCCGCCAGTTAAATCTGTTTATAGCTATTTGAATAATTGAATACTAATCTAACATATATAATTATAATTATAAATATAAATAACTGATTGTTTTTGGTGCCACCTCCTCTAATGAGCCAGCTAATTTGGCCATACAACAACCAGGCGTCAGTCGTCGGTCATTATTCATTAGTCATTAGTCATTACTCATTAGTCATCAGTCACTCAATCACTCAAACAATTTGGCTAATTGAGCGAACTGTAATTTGGCTAATGCTTTCAATAATTCACGTTCATTTTGCAGGGTGTGGAGAAGCCATTCGACCGGGTAATTCGGGCCAACATTGGCGATTGCCATGCGATGGGTCAAAAGCCGTTGACCTATTTGAGGCAGGTGAGTACGGGCATGCGGTACAGTAAACACTCGACTTCAATAACGATTTAATTGCTGCAGCTAATGGCGCTGACCATGGAGCCACGCCTACTGGATTCCCCCGACTATCCCGATGATATCAAGTCGCGCGCTGTCGATATTCTGGCCGGCTGCCTGGGTGGCTCGATGGGCTCCTACACCGACTCCGCTGGCATGGAGTTTGTGCGTCGCCAGGTGGCCGTCTTCATTGAGAAGCGCGACGGCGGCGTGCCCAGCGATTACCAGAACATCTATCTGACCGGCGGCGCCTCGCCAGGCATCAAGAGCATTATCGGTTTGCTTAAGTGAGTATCGCATCTGGTTAAATCTCTCCAGAAAAGGAGTTCGAATCGAGACTGCGCCTTAAAAAAAAAAACATGCTCAATGCAGTTCCCGATTCGTAACTATGCTTCGGTTCGGTTCATGAACCGCATTTTAGGCAACTATGAATCCAGGTCTACATATTTTTAAATTTTTTAAAGAACAACTGAATCTTATATAAATTAAGTTTATTATCACATTTATTCATATTCAGAGAACTGAAAATATCGTGAGTTTAAAGTAAACTATTTCAAAAATATTTGCAAATATTATATTTATTTGTTTTTGAACTAGTCTATTCAAAAGAAGTAACTAGTTCGGTTCATTTCTAACTTTCTCTGTTCAGGTTTAAAATTCGCTTTATGGTGTATAAATAATACTAACTCCTGGCTAAATTTGTTTTCGAACTTATCTATTCAAAAAAAAAAAAACTTGTTCGGTTAGGATTAAGGTTCGGTTCATGGTATATTAATAATACTAAGTCCGGGCTTAATTTGTTTTGGAAATAATTTATTCAAAAAAAGAAACTAGTTCGGTTCATGGTATATAAATAATACTAAGTCCGGGCTCAATTTGTTTTGGAAATAATTTATTCAAAAAAAGAAACTAGTTCGGTTCCTGGTATATAAATAATACTAAGTCCGGGCTTAAACCGGTTCGGTTCAAACCCGTTTAGCTTAGTTCTAAAATTGGCTTAAATCCTGATTCTTTTGCAAAGTACAAGAACAAGATAAAAGGAAATAGTTTTCACATCAGATATCAGTATTTGGTTAAAAAATAAACCTCAAACAACTTTCTTTTGTTCTTTTTACGAAGAAAATTATTAAAGTACAAATAAAGGTAGTTCAAAACCCTTTCTGAACCGGGCTTAAAACTATTTCTGAACCATTTGCAAATTGTTTATTTAGAATTCTTGTAATATCTTTTGAAAATATGAAAAATTAATTGTGTTTTTACTTTTACTGACAGCTGCCAGGTGAACGGTCAGCTGCCCGGCGTAATGGTGCCCATTCCACAGTATCCACTGTACTCGGCGACAATAACCGAATTGGGCATGACCAGGGTGGACTATTTCCTGAACGAGGACAAAGGCTGGGGTCTTGATCGCAAGGAGCTGCAGCGTTCCTTCGATGAGGCGAAAAAACAGTGCAATCCACGGGCTCTGGTTGTCATCAATCCGGGCAATCCCACCGGCCAGGTGCTGACACGCGACAACATTGAGGAGATCATCAAGTTTGCGTACGAGAACAAGCTGGTGATATTGGCCGATGAGGTGTACCAGGCGAATGTCTACGACAAGAACTCCAAGTTCTTTTCGTTTAAGAAGGTTATGAACGAATTGGGCGGACCGCATCGCAACCAGGAGCTGATCAGCTTTCTGTCCGTCTCGAAGGGCTATCTCGGCGAATGCGGCATACGCGGCGGCTACATGGAGGTGGTCAATATGTGTCCCGAGGTCAAGGCCGTGCTGACCAAGTCCATTACGGCCCAATTGTGCAGCACCACCGCCGGCCAGGTGGCGATCAGTGCTCTCGTCAATCCGCCGCAGCCCGGTGAGCCATCCTATGAGCTGTTCGAGAAGGAGAAGTGCGCTGTGCTGGATGCGCTCAAGGAACGCGCCGAATTGGTCTACAAAACGCTCAGCAGCTTTGAGGGCTACACGGTGAATCCCGTGCAGGGCGCCATGTATGTCTTCCCCAAAATCGAGATACCGCCCAAGGCTGTGGAGGCGGCCAAGGCCAAGAATATGCAACCGGATGTCTTCTATGCGTTCGAGCTGCTCGAGACGACGGGTAATCATTATTGATTGCAATTAAATGCAAATCGACAAATTAACTAATCCAATTCTCAAATTATTTTCACAGGCATTTGCATTGTGCCCGGCAGCGGATTCGGCCAATTGCCCGGCACCTATCATTTCCGCAGCACCATATTGCCGCAGACCGTTTTGCTGAAGGAGATGATGGAGAAGTTCCGTGTGTTCCATGCCGATTTTATGACGAAGTACAAGTAGACGCCATCAGACACCCCACCTCCCCTCTACAAACCATCCAGCAACCAAATTAAGACGTGAAGCGGCTTTTGATTTTTTTTTCTCTCCCAAAATTATAAAGTGTATTTAATAAAACATACAAGTAGCGAACAACTTATTTATAATAGATGTGCGAGTTCCTGTACTCTCAACCGGCTGTTCGGATTATATATATATATATATATACATATATATATGTATATGTAGATATATATGTGCCATATGTTTATGGTTTTGAAATAGAATTGAGGCATGTTACCAAAATTGACAATAATGTTTGTTTGAGCAAAATAGTTATTTGTTGTTGCTTAGTTGCCATCATTTGAGATTGTTATTAGAATATATATATATGCACATATAAATTATACATATATATGTGCATATATATTGTGCATTTGCTTGTCCCACTAAATGTTATATATGTATGTATATTGTACTGTTGTTAAAGAAAAATTATATATCACAAATACAATTGGCATTCAGAATTTCCAAATTGGCTTCTTTGCGCCCAAAAGTGTGCAACGCGCTGTTTTGTTTTTAGATCTAATCAAGCACACTAGATGTTACCCTGTAAAATGTTCTCGTTATATATAGTTCCATATAAGTTCGCTAAATATAGAAGTGTATCAAATATCTCAACTAATTTTAACTGCCATTTGGTTTATCGATTTATGCTTTTAGGCTTAAGACAGACTTCTCTTGCGGTACTAGAGTTTTCTAGGCTTTAGATACTTGTTGGAATTACATTATAGCCAGCACATCTTTATCAGAATCTTAGTTCCTTAAATAAGCAATAGAAATGGTTTAAAATTAGGGTTTTGTGTAGGCATATATTTGCTTCTCTTATTATCGCTCTTGGATACTATAAAAAAGAATGAGAGATTTGTTATAAATTTGGATTGTAGATTCGCGAAAAGGAAATGTTTGTTTTTGGTCTCAGCATAACTTCTAGATCGTAATAGCTATGGTTCCTTAATTGGGCATGTACTTCTAGCATATAGTTGGCATAGGAAGAATCGGTCCTTTCTTTTGGATATACCTACCTTATGTGATCCAAGCGTGAAGCTGAGAAAATTGGCGAAAATCTTTGTCGTTTACCATCCGATCGGCTTTAAGCTCAGTTCCAAAATCATTCCGATTCAAGAAGTTTCAGCATTTGTCCCATCTATTTTCATCTGATTTTCTTGTTGTTTATCTTCCGTTCGGATCAAAGATGGAGGAGGAAAACCTATATTTGAACCCAGACCTGCTTCTCTACCTACATTTAACATTAATTCAAACGCTTTACATATTATATTTCATAATTTTTATTATGTTCACCTTAAATTGTCATATTTTTTTTTTTTTTTTTTTTACAATTTTTGTCGATAGATTACGCGCAAAAAAAAAAGTACAGGTGAAAAAAAAAAAAGAATAGAAACATTCACAAAATATTCGTACCTTCCGCTCCGTCTAGTCAATCCGATTGCAGGCTGTTGTTGTTGTTGTTGCTGTTGTTTTGTTGTGTTTGTTTGTGTGTGTGTGTGTGTGTTGTAGTTGTTGTTTTTTTTTATATAAGTTTCTCTCTCTTTAATCTCTATGCACTTACATCTAAATACGCAGCAACAATCTCTGCTTATACTCGCGGCTGCCTTCGAATAAATATGTTGTTGCGACTTGGTTCGAAATGTTTCATAATTATAATTAATTGTTGTATTTTTTTATTTTGCTTCTTTTTTTTTTTTTACTTTTTTTTTATTTGGTTTTTCTTGTTTGTGAGGAGCTGCTTTTGTCGTCCGAAATTCACAATTGTACACATATATGTATATATATATAATCCGAAAAAAAAAAACTGGCTGTAATAGGAAATTTTTATTATTTTTTTATGGCCACACTCGCGGCGCCTTTACACATGTACTAGTTGTATGTGTGTGTTTGTGTTTGTTGTGTTGTGTGCGTGTGTGTGTGTGTGAAGGTGTGTCTGTCTGTATTTGTGTCTGTGCGGGTGGTTATGTGAAGAACTGTCTTATGAGCTGCTGCGCTGGTTGCTGGTGGCTCCACCTAGTGGCGATCCCTCGAGTCCGAGCGGCTGCGTCGATCCCGTGAGAAACTGCGACTGCGGGTCCTTGAACGTCTCGGGGAGCGTGATCTGTAATTAGATTGTGTTTTGGTGGTTGGGTGGGGCGGGTGATTGGTTTATGTTTATTTAAAGCATTAGGCAGACAGAGCAGGACGAGTGAGTTAGACACACACAGACACAGAGAGAGAGAGTGAGAGAGAGAGCGAAAAAGAGAGAAGAGAGAGAGAGAGAGAGAGAGAAAAAAATACAAATTAAATAGATTTTTAACACTTGTGTTTTGACACATATTTTTTTTTTTTTTTTTTTTTTTTTTGTATAAACAATGCTGAAAAACTGAGCCTCCATTTCAGTTTTTAGTTATTCTATGGAGGAGCTGAGGGGAGTTGGTGGTTGATTTGGTCGGTGGTGCTGTCACAATTTGTTGTGGCTGTGGCGCTGCGTTGAGCTGACCTGAGCTGAGCTGAGCTGAACCGTTGTTGAGCTACTTTGCAGGGAACTTAAGCTTTTCTTTGGGTTATATCCCAAAAAAAACATACATAAACACAGTAGTAGCTTGTGGTGGTGGTGGTTGGTGGTTGTTGGTGGTTGTTGGTGGCTTTTTGATGAGCGGAGCAGACTGAGAAGACTGTTGTTCTGGTTGTTTGTTGTTATTGTAGTTGTTGTTATTGGTGAACTAAATGTAGCTGTTGTTGTTGTTGTTGTGGTGGTGGTGGGTTTGTTGTTGTGGTGGTGGTTTGTGTGTGGGTGTGTTGATGCTAATACTGGTTTCAACACATTGATTGAAGCTGCTGCCCATACGCACACACATGTACAGACACACACAGACGTGAAGAGAGCGCGGCTCAAAACGCAGCAGCTGAAGAGCTGAAGGGCTGAAGAGCTGAAGAGTGGGCAGTTTGCGATCGTCCGCAGTTGTTGTTGCTGCTGATGCTGCTGCTGCTGCCTCTGCTGCATCCGCGTGTTCTGTGTGTGCGGTACTTTTTTTTTCTTACTAACTGTTGTTGTTCTTGTTCTTGTTGTTGTAATAAAGCAGACAATTAGCGGGTGAGTGAGTAGAGGAACAACAAAAAAATGCATGTTAAGTGAACGATAACGATAAACGATAACAAAAAAAAAAAAAAAAACCAAGAAAGTTCTGTTAACGTCGGCTTGCCGAAGATTTAATACCCTTGCAGACATGCGTCAGATGGAAAATATAATAAAAACTACAGTGATCGCAATTAGAAATCGAGGCAGATATTTTATAATAAACAACAAATTGTTTTTCGAAATGAACATTTAAGTTAAGGCTCTGATTTAGTATTTGTTATTAATAATTTTATATGCGAGCGATCACTGTACTTTGTATTAAACCAAGACCAATATTTTGTACACAACAACTCTGATGACTTGACTATATAGTAATTTATAGTAGTCCGATGCAACTCTGCCAAGTGATCAGCACATTAAAAAGCCACTTACGAAAACTTCAAGTTATTTTAATGTTCTAACTTGACCGATTGTTTTTATGATTAATCTGAACTGTATTCCAGTATTTTTTGTGCTCCACTAACAAGAAAAAGTACTCCTGAACAATCCTCTAGATAGATGATATAGTGATACGATTCAGCCAATCTGCAACATATCTACCAATTTCAGCAAAAAAAAAAGATGCATATCTGCCAAGTTTCTTCATCGAGATAGCTTCGCTGGGAGAGGAGTTAGCATAGATACAGCTAGAAGCACGGAAGAACATGGGTTCGATCTATTTCTATCTATTGTGACCTGCTGCTAAGGGTATTACGAAAATGGCAAAACGATAAAAAAAAATATATTCTAAAATAAAAATAAAACTTGGTTATTTGATTTTAGCTACAGCTAAAAGAAAAAATGGGAACAATTTTACATACGCTTTGCTTATCTTTTTCTTTTCTTTTTTGTGGCAGTTGCTTTGCGTGATAATCGGAGGTTGTGGTTGGTTGTTGTTGTTGTTGGTGATAATTGGTGGTGGTGGTTGTTGTTGTTGTTGTTGTAGTAGTTGTTGTTGTTGTTGGTGGTACGCTTGCGGTTGCAGGAGTTGTTGCAGTTGAAGCTGAAGTTGTTTAGGTGAATAGTGAAGAAGCGCAGCGCAGCTGAATTTGAAGATTCATAAACATTTTTGATGGAGATGCTCGACGCAGGGTGTGGGGGGATGGGGTGGCCAACCCGGGCATGTTGTTGTGGAAGGGGTGCAAAAACTGAGATGAGCCTAGGAGCTAGAGCAACAACAAAAGAGATGGTTAAAAACAAGGACCCCAAGAGCTGTTGCATGCTGCATGTTGCATGTTGCATGTTGCATGTTGCATGTTGTTGAAGTAGCTGTTGTTGTTGTTGCTGTTGTTTCTTGGTTGTTGTTGTTGTTGAAGTTCTTGCTTGATTGGCTGATTGGCTGCATGGCTGTTGGTCGTTGTCGGTGGCAGGCTGGCATATAGATGACATAAGATGAGGTTCTTTTTGTTTAATTTTTTTTTTTTTTTTTGGGACAGAAGCGCAGCTGTGGAGTGGAGGCACGACCGAGGCTGAGAGGCGTTGCAAGTTGCAAGTTGAAGTTGTCTACAGTTGTTGTAGCTGTTGCAAAGCGTTGATCGATTGACTGGTTGGTTGGTTGGTTGGTTGGTTGATTGATTGATTGATTGATTGACTGGTTTGTTGGTTGGTTGTTGGTGTAATTGGAGTTAGATTTGATTGCTGCTGGGTCAGTAGTTGCACTTGCTTGTTGTTGTTGGTGTTGTTGTTGATAAGTGTTGTTAATATATGAGAGAGCAAATGGTCGTTGTTGTTGTTGTTGTTGATGTTGTTGGTACGATACGAAATAGAAGCTTATGATGAAGTATGAAGATTGTTGTTGCTGTTGGTGAAGATGCGACGACAGCTGCAGTCAATCGATTGACCGACTGATTGGCTGCTCTCACGGTGGCACGTGGCACTTGCTGATTTGTGTGAGTGTAAGTGCGTATGTGTTTGTGTTTGTGTGGTATGAGCATGAGTTAGAGTGAGTGAATGTTGTATTGTGTTGCAGTTGCAGTTGCAGCTGTTGCTGATGCAGGTTGTAGCTGCTGCTGCTGCTGCTGCTGCAGTTGGCTGCAGGTGATGAATGGTGATTGGACTGCCCCTTGGCTGATCAAATAGATGCGTACGTTAAGTACATAATGTTGTTGAGATCTTGCGAAGAGGAACTTGTGTAGTTTTTGTTGTGATGTGTTGCTGTTGCTGTGGCTGTCGCTATTATTGTTGTTGTTGTTGTTATTGCAGTCAGCGGAATATATCGTATTTGTTGAAATCGACAATTATCATAAAGCTGCACAATTTGGTTGGGCGTGTTGTTGTAGTTGTTGTTGTTGTTGGTGGTGGTGTTGGTGAAATGTGTGTAAGAGGAGGAGCAGGAGCTGTTGTTGTTGTTGTTGTTGTAGTTATGAGACGTGAAGTTGTTCTTGTTGTTGTTGTAGTAGTTGTACTTGTTGAAGGAAGAGGAGGAGTAGTAGAAGTACTAGTAGTAGTAGTAGTAGTAGCTGTTGTTGTTGTTCTTGTTGTGCTTGTAGTAGAAGTAGGCTTTATCCTGCAAAATGATTGTGAAACCACATTAAAACTGAGCCCCAATCCTCGATGATTTTTGTTTCTATTTTTATAATTTTTTTCTTTTTACTAAACACAACAAATTTGTACAACGGCCAGGCCGCATTTGAGTAACAAGCGGGCAAACGGGTCGGGGAGGGGAAAATCTTCTGTTTATGGGTGTTGGCGAAACAAATGAAGTACGTAAAGAATAAACAACAAAAAAATAATAAAACGCACCCACTTTGAATCTGAGCGTCCAACCCTTGTTTATCGATTAACGATACTCGGACTTGTGAGATTTTTTTGTGCACACAATTGATGCGCACGCTACTGTAAATGTGTGTGTATGTGTATGTGTGCGCTGTGCTCACTTTTACAACCGGTACTGCAATATTTCTTGTATGTATACGCACATTGGCGGGCCCGTTTCATATATATTTTTTTTTTGCTTGCCCCAAATCGATTTTTCATACTTTTTTTTTTTTGGCCAGCTCATATGCAATGCACAACGTTTTCGATGCCACATATGCACACACATATATTTTTTTGTATATACATATACTTATACATATGCGAAAAAAATGGTGATGCACGGACAGTGCAAGAGGGAAGATCGGAGTGGTACTCACCTATAACGTCCACCAGCATCGCCAGCGCGAGCAGCTGCACCGCCGCCGCCACCGCTACCGCTGCGGCCACCACGACGGCCACCTCCGCCGCCACCGCCACCGCCGCCGCCACCGCCGCGTCCTTCGCGTGAACGGCCAGAGGACATTTCGACGCGTATGCGTGTGCCACAGCAGCGTGTGCCGTCAAGACCGCGTGTCGCATCCTCAGCATCACGACGATCCTCGAACTCAACGAATGCAAAGCCAGGCGGATTGCGTGCGACCCACACGTTTCGCAGAGGTCCATATTTGCTGAACGCATTCTCAATCTCATGTTTGGAGGCCGAGGAGCCCAGATTGCCCACGTAGACTTTGCAGGCCAAATCCCATTCACGATAGCGGGGCATGGTGTGTTTATATATATATGTGTATATAAATATATATGTAGAAAGCGTTTGCTAACTTTAACTAAAGTTTTTTTTTAACCCAAGTATTAATTGCGTCTCTAGGTATACACAATTTTTTCGCAGGCAGCAGGCAGACACAACCACGCTTACGTAGAGAAAAATTAATTTGTGATTGTGGGCTAAAAACAAGATGGCAGCCAACTATCGATGTGCATTCCAACCAAATCGATAACAATGACTTATCGCTGGTAGCAGCCCTGGTATTTTGACAGCACAGCTGAGTTCTACTATTATTTAATCGCACAGCATTTCGTTCTATTTCACAAAAACTTCAATAAAACAACACAGTACAAAATGGCTAAAAGCCCCGAAACCGTTTCTCTCGACCAACTGGACAAGGATCAAATGAAAACGGTGAGTAAAGCGGCGCATTTGATTAATAAATCCACTGCAAATGTGATGCAATGTGCAATCGAATGTGCCGCCCGAATGTGATTATTGCTGGCAATCAAACTAAACAACGTGCGTATAGTTTTCAGATTTCCTTATGTCGTATAACAAACTTTCTGAAATGTGCTTTACGGACTGTGTGCGCGATTTCACATCACGCGATGTTAAAGACTCTGAGGTAAGCGCCAAACCGTAAATAGAACTTTGGCCAAATGATGATGATCATAATGGTATTTCTTGTTTTGCAGGAGAAATGCTCGCTGAATTGCATGGAAAAGTACCTGAAGATGAACCAGCGTGTATCACAGCGCTTCCAGGAATTCCAAATGATTGCCAACGAGAATGCTTTAGCTATGGCCCAGAAGACCAATAAGCTGTAGAGCATACAGTTCGAGTTACTAAGTAGTTTAGTTAACAATACAAATTCACACCGATAGCGAAGCTGAGCTGAAAATGCATTTTTGTTGCATTTGTATGGGTCCTTATCTAGCAATTAAATAAATACCAAACAAACAAAAAAGCAATGTTAATGATAGTTACGCTTGTTAGTCGTATACATAATGTACTTGTTTATTGCTGCTGTCCTGGATAGATGTTAGGGCAGTCTCAAGTCTCTGCAGATCTGAAGCCATAGTCATTATTTAAAAGTTAGCCTGATCGCTTATAACTAGACCCATTTTAAACGTACTGTGGCCCAGTTACAGTCATGCACATTTGTGCTTTACTCTGACACGCACTCGTCCACTTGCTCTCTCTCTCTCTCTCTCTTCTCTCTCTGTCTGTCTTTCTCTTTTACTAACTTTAGCATCTACTTCTGTTTCGTGCACATGTTCTTACGCGTTTATCAGTCTGAGAAAAACAATTATTGACTTTGATGAGATTTATAAAGATAACTAGAGATCTCTTATTTTATTAATTTATGAAGTTGTTGAAGAGGCACACACACATACATATGTGTTCCTTATGATAATTGCAAGTTACAAAAAAAAAAGGGACAAATTTGGCGTTAGATTAGTTCCGTTGTGCCACACAGCAACGAAGGGAGAAGGAGGTGGGAGTGTTTTAGCAGTTCAGCCTCATAAATAGTATTTTTAGAATTGGGCGCCGCATAGCTGCTTATGTGCTAATGTCTAAAACTACGTTTAAGTAACGCTGACAGGGTCTGTAATTATACGTTAACGAACTCGACATGATTATATATCTAGCTACACACACTAAATATACGCACATTGCGAGCGCTGCTAGCCAGTTGTCGATGCACATACGCAAGGACCATGGCGATCATTACATTATTACATATCCTATAGAAGCAAGCCATCGCCTGCGGCTTGCTATTCAATACTTAGGGCTACACACGCTTTATTGGCCTGGAGCTGCAGCTACACTCATGTGTTCAGTGGCTGGTGCCGCCCGCCTCCGATGGGAAGCCCTCTGCCTCATTGATCAGCGCATATTCGAGAATGACGCGACCCTCTTTGTATCTGGAAGAGCAAACAATAGTGGGTGCGTGAGCGAGTGCCCTATACGAATGACAACAACTCTCTCTATTTTTACTTTTGCGTCTCCTCGGTGGCAAACTCATACATCCAGCCGAGCTTGGCGCCACAGTTCTTGCACATAACATCGCGCACCATATGACGGCCCGTGAGCATCACACGCTCCTGAATGGCGCTGAATGTCAAGTTGACCACGCGCTTAAACAGATAAGCCCGTCCTGCGGATAATATGTGCAACAATAAGCAATCAAACAGAAACACTAAATTGTGTATTCTCTGCTTACCCGTGGCGCCAGTAAAGCGTGTGCTGATTAATTGGCTGCGATTGGTCAAATTGGTGTGACATTGGGCGCAGTTGAACAGCTTGAGGCCGCCAAGGTGCTCCAGAAAGATGCGGCCCATAGTTGTTCGTGTACTTTATATATTTGTTTTTTATCAGAACACTTCTATTGTCACTGTCTGTGCGCTTCCGTTTCCCTTTGCGCTCGTTTACCTGCTTTTAATTGCAGTGTTTGCGTGTGTGTTGTGTGTGTGCGTTTCTTTGTTTGCAGATGCTGAGAATGTTGAGAAATTGTTGTTATGAAAGTGTTATTAATCACAGTACGCAACGAATTTGCGTATACTTTTGCGCAGCGCTGCTTATCTGCAGTGCTTTTTTGTTTTTAAGCGAAAAAAACAAACTTACAGCTGTTTGAAACTTTGCTGTGGCGCAACCAGATACAAAAACGTACAAAAATACACTAAAAATTCTACAAGCAGCACAAGAAGCAACACAGGGAACTCTCGCTGACTTTGATTTAGAACACAACTCGCCAATTACGACGCCTGTGACAACAAAAAATCCAAAAAAAAAATAATGAAAATAGCACAGCAATAACAATGCAACGCTTTCTAGGGCTGTCGCATAAATATCGATACTGTGCTGTTATCGATATTGTATTATTTGCGATTTTTCATAAGCATTGCTGTGCTTTTCGGCTAAACATAAGTTTCGGCACATTAAATTTATCGTTTGTTATTTTAGTTATAATTTAAGCAACTTGTAGCTGTTAGCAAATGGCTAATCAAATAGTTGCACATAAGATAAGCAATCGAGTAACTCTTGTACTCGATAGCGTTTCAAATGCTGACGCCCTGGTCAACAGCTGTTCAGTACACGTGATTGTGCAATTGTTGTTGCTGTAATCGCCGCCCACCTAACGCTGCGTGGGGATATCTTTCCGGCAGCGTTTGGCGTTTTTAAAATATTTAGAATATTTTCGATTGGAGTTCAGTATCATGTGTTTTAAAATTCATATATAGAAAACTGTCCTGGCCAACACAAAATGGAATCCGAAGACTAAGAGCGCCTGAGGAGACCATGCCAAATTTCATTTCAATCGCTTAGCTAGTGCGAATCGGTATTTATCATAAAGGCAAGAACCTCAATAAACGCAAAACATCAACGAAAGATGAACCTCCTGCGACGAAAATTACGAATCCTGCTCTCTCGGGGCCGCTACAGCATATTCCGGCAAGCGGCGACGGGGACTGGAGGCGGAGGCGGCGTCGGTGCGGGTGTCAGATCTGGAACACTGCAAAAAATGCGCGAATGGCACAGCAGCGCGTTTAGCAATAAATTTCTACTATTTACCAACGTTGGCATCTCGCTAACGCTCAGCTCGGTGGGCGACATACTGGAACAGCAGCTGGAGTTGTACAATAACGAGATCGAGGCATACAGCAGCACACGCACCCGGCACATGGCGACCAGCGGCGTGGCCGTTGGCATCATATGCCATTATTGGTATCAGATGCTGGACAAGTATCTGCCGGGTCGCAGCATGCGTGTGGTAGCCAAAAAGATTGTCCTCGATCAATTGATCTGTTCGCCGCTCTACATATCCGCCTTCTTTGTGACGCTGGGCATACTGGAGAGAAAGGACGCGCACGAGGTGTGGGAGGAGATCAAGGAAAAGGCCTGGAAGCTCTATGCAGCCGAGTGGACTGTCTGGCCGGTGGCGCAGTTCGTCAACTTCTACTGGATACCCACGCATTATCGCATCTTCTACGATAATGTGATCAGTCTCGGCTACGATGTGTTCACGTCGAAGGTGAAGCATTCACCCTCACATCTGCCCATTACCGCCACATCCTCGACTATGAAGAAGCTGACGACGCAACAGGCCTAACTTATCCAAACAATAGTTTAACGCCCTGCCTTTTACCTTTCAAATAGTTTATTTAATATATGTACAACTAAAAATCTTGTAAATACTGTATGCAATTTATTGCAATGCAAACACCATGAGCTTTAACAGCGCGAAAAATGTACCTTGACGCGAGCCGCGCTGCGGCTGCTCTCTCAATAAAATGGGCCAAAATGCGGCGACAATCGTACCGAATCCAACGAAACTGGTCTCCATGCAAACTAGATAATTTAGGCATCATTGAGATGTGCTGCGCTCTGCTCTTGTCTGATGCAATTCGGTTGCGGCTGCCAGTCACTTGTCTGGCAACAGTTGCAACCGGTTCGACATGCCTTCCAAGTGAACCGTCCCCCCCCCCTACAGGCCATCGGTTAAACTTCCCCTCGCGAGTCGGTGAAGGATTTTTCGAGCACAACGACCGCTGCCCAAAATTGGTCTTTGGCAATAATTCTCGTTTATCAACTGCGCCAAGAAAGTAACTTTTTGCATCGCTTGTGCTCCACTTACCAGCTGCAACGGAAACATGCCTGAGCCACAGATCTTACCGTGTATATGACAATGATGCGAATGACGCAGATGGAACGCGCACGCTTTCAACTGTTTCTTTTTTGTTTTTTTTTCGCTGATAAGCGCGAATGGGAAAAGATTGTGATTGGGATGTGCCTGCAGGCAGGCAGCAACACGCCATGCCACGCCCCGCGTTTGATAAGCGCCCATCGGTTGCTAACTACGAAAGCAACAAAAGTTGACTTTAAATTTTGCCGCAGTTAAATATAAATCAGAGGAACCCATCCAAAACTGATAAGCCGCATTCACAGATACGGGACAGTCACATAAATTTAATGTACGCACAGCCAAGTCCTATACATATATATATATATATATATATATATAGATACTTGTATCCATTAATGAAATGCCTATCTCAAACTGCGGGGGGCATGACTAAAGAAATCTTATCGCAGCCGTTTGCAATTCGCAACTTGTGCTTGACATTGATAATGAAATTGGTTTGTGAAACAAATCAACGCCAAGAAACAATAATAATAATAATAATAATAATAGCCATAAAAATGCTGCAGTATTTAATTAAAACGTTCATATTTATATTGGCAACGACCTTGATAACGCACAGATAATCGAACGGTCGCGATTCCCGGGGCTCCGATTAGCTGCATCTGAGCCTCTTTTTTTTTTTTGGGTAGGCCCAGTAACAGGTGATCCAGTCACGGCAAAGATTTCAATTTGAATATACATACATATGCACACATATGTTTATATATATTTCGCATTTCAATTGTTTTGTCGTCGCGGCGGCGACTGTTCCATGCCGATCCCAGCGGGCTTGGCGATTGTAAACTGGTTTTCGTAAGATTAATTTTCGTTTTCTTGTGCTATTTTCGGGGCTAATTGGCAAGAGGAAGAAAACACGATATCAGTTAGCAACCGAAACGTGATTGCTTAAAACAACCGGGCCTCCAAATGAACGACAGCTCATTAAATATTCGATTCGTTGCATCGATTGGCATCAAACTGCCCTTTTTAAATTGTTATCGATAATTAGTTATCGAGCCCAGTTGAACGCCCTGATTTGCCCAAAGCTTCCCGCGTTAATGTCTTAAAGTTGAAATGCGTTTATTTTGTGGTCTATAATTGACAATTTACTATTTCTACGAGCCTTAGCTTATTATCGATATTGGGTTCGGGGGCGCATCGAATTTGATTTGGGCCAACGGCATGTTTGCGTAAAAAGTTCTCGAACATACATACATACGTATGCATGTATGTATGTATGTACGTATATGTATATTCAGCCACAAGGTTGTTGCCAATGCTGTAATGCTAACCTAAAAAAACAAAAACAAAAAAATCCAACTTGTTTTCGAACTTATTGCAAATGACGTGCGGTTTGTTGTTGGCGTCGCCATTGACCGATCGCACAACAGCATAAAAACAACTAAATAAAAGTGGGGTAAATGCGCTTATTTACAAGATGCTGACAACAATTTTGTCTATCCCTTACCGCGCACAGTCCCCCTTATTCGACATGCGGGCGGTGGGCGCGCTCACGAAGAACGCACGCGGATTGGCCAATTTTCTGGGCTCGTCTGCTGTGCCTCTCTGCGATAAAGGCAAAAATCAAATACAAATATGTATATCGAAACAAATAAAGAAAGCGTCTTTGGCAAAGAGCGCAGATCGTATAGCATTTGCGGCCGCATTCAAAGAGCGCAACACACGCGAACAAGTTTTTGTAAGGAGCTGCCAGACTCGTCGCGAAAGAGTACAATTTACAGAGGCGAACAGATATCGATGCATACATACATACATACATACATGCATACATGCATATGTGTGTAGATAGCAGCATTTAAATTGGATACTTGTGCGTTTGTATGTACTGTTGTCTGTTTGTGTGAATATTTGACTTGTTGGGTGAGCAGATTTTTGCGTTTGTTTTTGTTGTTTTTTTTTCGGTTTTTTGTGCCACGCGCAATTTAATATGAAACAAAGCAAAATAGCTTGAAGCACAACTTCAAAATACCTGTACTTGGTATCGATTACTTTACGCATTAGTCGATTAGCGATAACAGCTGATGTTGATATCGATGCCTTTTAAAAAAATATGCAAATCATGTGGGCGGTTATTATGCCGCTTTAATCAAAACAAATAATGTTAATTAACTAAAGGTTGTTGAGCTTAAGCAGGGCTACTATTTAAAGGTTATTTAAGGAAAGTAAAGTGTGGAGTATAGCTATATAAATCTATATACATATAATATAAAATATAAAGACAAATATTGTCTAAACATAAACGGCCGCTGTTACCATCGCGAGGCACACGTGTCGTTGAGTTTCTCAAGCGTCGTTGAGTTACCGAATAATATACATATAATGTATGTATGTATATACATACATACATATGTATATTGTAGATGCTCAACGTGTATGCTTGGTATCTATCTCTGCACGTGATTTAAACGCGAGCAAGTCTATAAAGTTGACAATTTAAAGATCATAAAATCTTCTAAGATAGACCATAAAAACCGGTTGTTCAGTTGAATTATTTTTGGCAAAAAGACGGCGAGACCCGCACCAGCTTTATCAGGCCCAACTCATCCCCCCGCACTCCACGGCGGGGTTAATAAATTGACTAATGTTGTTGGCATTAGCCTTGAAAGCGTTGCAGAATTTGGTGGAAAGCAAAAGCCAAAAATACCAGCGCATAGTTTTTTTTGGGAATGCGAAATTAGAGAGATAGTCGGGATAGCTGGTAAATAGCCAGAGAGAGAGAGAGAGAGAGAGAGAGAGAGAGAAAGAGAGAGAGCTCTTGTCTTATTATCTATTTTTGAATGCCAAAGCCAAAGCTCGGCAGTGAACATGAAAAGCACGGACCTGCTCGACCTTGGCAGCACAACAAGAAAACAGCCCAGCATGGAAAATCATCTCAAGGAGAAGAGAAGGCGCGGAGGAACAAATACGCAGCACGCGTAAGCAAATAAATCAAGAAGCGCCCACGAGTTCTGGCCATCGTTAAAAAGCCAGACAATTGTATATATATGTACATAAGTATATAAATATATATATCCATATATTTGGTATATAGGAAAGCTAAATACATACATATGTATACTTTGTGTGGAGAGTGAAAAGTG